CACTACTCCCGTGGCACGCAAGACCTTAGTGCTTGCAGCGCCTCCACCTTCACCATGCATGGCTCCTTCCCTTCCCCAGTTTAATAGCTACATCCTCTGCTGCATTTTCTTTCTTCTCTCTCTGCTTCGGACGTAATTCATGATTATCTTTTATCTTTTATATAAACACGATATCCTTTCCTTGAACTTCTGAGTCTTCTTTCTTCCTTGACTTTTCAGACCACTCCCTAGTGTCCCTGGCTTAAGAGTTTGAATACCCTGAGGCCGGGGATGCAGGTTCCTTGTGAATCAGACCGCTTGTCGGCCACCAAATAAATTTAAGAAGGATTTTTCATCCGCTGCTAGCATGACTTGGTGCTGAACTCTTTCAGTGAAAAGGTTACCTTGTTCCTTGTCTTTGACAGTAACGCCAGGGATGTTGTCCATGTGATATTATCGTCGAGGACACTCATTCTGTCTGCCATGCCGGGGATAGGGTATACCAATCCCTTTTCCTGTTCTCTAGCCTGAGTGAGACGTCTTCTCAACTTTTCAAGCAACTCAGGGGTACCAAACCCTGTTCTTTCTCTCTGATCTGAGCGTGGCACACTCTCACTTCTCAGAAAAATAAAAGGGAATACCAAACCCATTTTCTTTTCTCTGGTCTTGGAGTTTTTTAAGTGTCTGTGTGATCCTGTAAAACAGTAAAGTCCCTCGGTCCCAACATACAGACTCCCTGACAAGAAGTCATCAATCAGTAATTAAATAAAAATAAATAAATATAGAAACCCATAATAAAATAAAAAATAAACATAAACTGTTATTCACACCCAAGAGTTATTGATTGCCTTAATTTTGGTTGCTCACCACTGGCCAGGAATGACAGACCTCCCGTCAGTCTGTCATACCTTATTCAGCCCGCCTCAGGCCAGGACCAATCAGACCATTTGTCTTGACGACCCCTTTAACCTGCCTCCAGGTCAAGACCAGCATACCCACTACTCGAGTATGATGACCCTTTGACACTCTCGCCAGGACACCCAGACTATAGCGGGTCTGGTCACCCTATGACAGTAGACCTCCCGTCAGTCAAATTGTCTCGTACCCGGATTTGACCACTGCGGTCGGGGACCGACTCACCCACCAGTTTTTGGCCAAGGGCGCTGGCTGCCCCGCCTAGATTTTTGAACGTGGGACCCGGTCTAATCATAATTCCAGGCTCTTGCAAATAATAACTTTATCACCATTGTGGAGTCACTCTCCCTTGCTTTATGTGGTAGGGTTTCAGTTGACCCCTTTTGACCTCACGGGCCAGACCCCCGGAGTCTTAGCCTCAGCCAACTATGGAATTTGACACTCGCGTCGGGGACCTGCTGACCCCACCAGATTGCGACCTACTGCGGTAAGGCTCTGGCTCGCCCCGTCAATCAATGCATCTTTAGGTTAGTGAAGAAAATCCCAACCGGAGACTGTCAATCATACATCTCATACCCACAATCAAACAGTCCATGCCCCAGATAACAGAACAAACATTTCTCAAGAGACGTCCCTTCGGTCTCAAGAGGCGTTGAACAGCAACAAGCAACAACTGACAATGTATTCCCTGAAGACCTCCCGTTAGCCCCAAGAAATAAAAAATGTTGATCTCAGAGAGGTCCCTTCCCTCATCTGAGAATACTCCCAAGAAACCTTCCGTCAGACTCAAGGAAGTATTGAGATGCTGATCCCAGAGAGGTCCCTTCCCTCATCTGAGACAGAAGATAGGCAACTTAGTAAAGAAACATGAAGTCCCCATGCCGACAACTCTCTGGTCAAGCACGACTAAACTTCTTTATGCCCATCTTCTTGATAGCTCTCTTGGACAGGCAACGTAGCCGGCAAGAAGTCCCTCTACGGACAACTCTTTGATCAGATAGAGCTAAACTTCCTTGAGCCTATCAGACTCTCTTCGTTATCAGGGATCAATACTGATCACTCTTTGATGTGCCACAGCCATGAGTTCTCTGAACTTAATATTGCACTAATATTCTGAAGGATGGTCTCTCATCACCCTCTTTATAGTAAAGTCGTCTTCTGCTCAGAGGTAAGATACTCATAGATCGACTGTGGTTCTGCATTAATAACTTTGATCTCATAACCTCTTAAGAAAATTTGATTCAGATGCTCAGACGAACGTAAATCATCTGGAAGCCTTTTCTCGAGTCTCTCGTGTCAAAATCAGACATGCTGAAAATTAACACACTGAACTGATCATACAAAAGTAATCAACGTCTGCTGAAACTTTAGTCCCTGCAGTGCCTTATTGTCTCACAGTACTTTGTCTTAATCTTCTGAAACTGTTTTTTTACTGGATGACTGCCTTTTCTTTCCTTTCTTCCTAGTCATGGTGGGAACTAGGTAAGAGTCTATGAAGATAAACTTACGAAGTCTTGACCCTGACACCATATCATGAACTTTTGAGTCATCCAACTCTGAAATCTCATAGACTTTGCCCTCTGCTTTTCCTGTAATCATGTAAGGACCGAACCATCTAGGTGCCAACCATTTAGTCCATTGAGTCTCGAGAGAGTTATCAAACAACAGGACAACATCACCAATTTTTAATTTATCTTTTCTTATGTACCTTTCCTTGTTCCATTTTGTTTGGTCTGACAGTCTACTGGTTGTCATCCTCTCAGCAGCATCCATTACTGCTTGGTCAACCTCTGATATTTTTCTCATTCTGATCTGAAGTAGCTCTGAAATAGAGTATTCTTTGTCACTCTCTTGACTTGACCATGTCTTGATTATGTTCTCAACAGGCAAAGTAGCATAACGACCGTACCACGAAGTAAATGGAGCATAACCACTTGTTCTCTTAACTGTGATATTGTCACTATAGACTGCAGTCCTTAACACTTTTGGCCAGTTACTGAGATTTCTTTCACACCACTTAGCCAATGAATCTTTCAAGGTCCTGTAACCTCTCTCGACTGGTGCATTTGCTTGAGGATGATAAGTAGTTACTTACCGGATTCTGACACCAAGTCTGAGAGTGGTTCTTCTTACAATCTCATTTTTGAATTTTGATCCTCTATCTAAGACAAACTCTCTGATGAAGGGATATCTGAGATAAATCTCCTCTATTCAGTCACCCACTTGTTCGGCTGTCTTCCTTTTCAGAGTCTTTGCCTCAACATAACCAGAGAAATTATCTCTCATGTTCAGTATTGTCTTTCTTTTCCACAAAAAACTCTTAGTGGAGGCAACCCTCCGTTGCCATCCACGAAGAGGTGACCTCTCTTCCGTCTGAACTTCTTCCTTGAATTTTTGCAGTAGTACTCCTTTACCTATTCTCTTTCCATTTTCTTTTCAATCTCCTGGTAATTCCCGTCATATTCTTCAAAGATGAATGATAATTTTTCCTCTCTCTTTCCATCTTCCTCTTTCTTTTCAGCTTCTTCCTCATCTTTTGACCCAGAACCTTCTCCAGTTTCATGAGCAGCTACAGTTGCTGCATTGATCCTGACCTACCAATCGTTTTGCTTTTCATCCTCTTCTTTTTCAAGAATCAATTTATAAACATAGACTTCGGGGTTTTCTCCCCAATTGTCTCTCTCTTCAGGCCATAAGCTCCATTTATAGGAACTTGGGGCCTTATAATCTTCATCCTCCTTCTCATTCAGGAAGTTATCAACATAAGCAGATTCTTCTATTGAGCTGTTAATATCTTCATCTTCATTTTTTCTCCATTCGATCTGGCTTAAGCCATCTGTCCTGTTCTTCTCAGTAGGAATTTTTTCCAATTGGAAATCAAAAGTCCAAATGAAGGCAACTGACGGATGTCAGAAGTTTCTTGGGTGTCTGTGGATTCTGAAGGATTTTCGTCCCTCATTTTGCTACCCTTGCAGAGCCTCTAAGAGAGATAGTGAGACAAGGGGCTGACTTATCATGGACAGAGAAAAGACAAGCTGTTGTTGAAACCCTACAAAAAAAATTAAAGGRCGGGGGAGTAGTGTTGGGAGTGCCTTTCTATGATGATGAAGAGGGGAGACCCTTCAACATCCAGGGAGATGGAGGACCGGTAACTCTTGGGGGTGTACTTATTCAAAAGGATTAAAATGGAAAACATGAACCTCTAAGATTTGATAGTAGAACTCTTAATTCGACAGAGAGAGGTTGCACTCTTTTGCGAGGCAGAGGCCGGTTCAAAATTTTATCTATTTTCTTGAGATCGGGACTCCTAACCTTGGAGAAGCATCTAAAACCCAAGAGGGTTACCTCTGCCTGAAAGAGAAGGGACTTTGGGCCGTTGGCAGTCAGATTGTATTTCTGAAGTCTCTCTAGGACCTGCTTTACCCCTTCAACATGTTCCCAGACAAACTTTCTGACTCCATCATCAACCAAAGTCTCATCTCTTACTATAGGTTCTTTCACAGGATTATCATCAATATAAGGGTTGGTTATTTCAGGCGAGATATCCTGCATGAGTTGGATCATATCCCTTTGAACCACTGCAACATCATTGGTCCAACCTTGAGGTACCACACACATTTGAATGAGGTCCCTCGGAGTGTGCATGACAGTCATTGGTCGGTTAGTGGGATCAATAGGAAACTGATCGTAGCCAGAATATATGGCTACCACAACCATGAGCACGTCTGCGCAGCAGACTTCCCAAGCCGGTAGTTCAGGTACCGCCAGGTCCACGGTCGCGCAGGCCTTGAGTCAGTCCGCTGGCTTAATGGCAAGCCAGCCCGCGGTGTTGACCCCAGAGGATGTTGCCATCCAGCAGGCAGCCCTGCAAGAGGCACAGCTACAGCAGGCATTAGGACATATAAAAGGGGAGAAGAAGATGATGATTAGAAGAAGGACCAGGATGCAACGGAGAGGGGCAAACGTCGATGGACCTGACGAACATGGATAACGATGTGAGGGTAGTTAGGAGAGCCCTGCTAGGAGTAATAGAGATGTAGGAGCATCAAACTACCATCCTTCATGATATCCAACAGAGCCTAGCCATTTTGGTAGGGCGTTCTCAGGGAGCACCATCACCGACAGGGCCTGGTGCCTGGCCCGTGCCATATCCTCCTTTTTCTGTTCCACCGGTGACTGGGGTTTTCCCATATGTAGCCCTGTTATCGGTTGCTATCGTTTCCCTGGGCATGCCTCTATCAGGAGGGGTAACAGCAGGGAGTAGTGTGCAGGTTCCTGTACAGACAGTGTTCACTCAGAGTCCGTTGCATGTTGCAGTTACCACGCAGCCTGCTGTCTCGCAACCTGTGCAGCCACAGGGCACACARCCCCAGCAGCTAGCACARCAACCTRTATCACCGGGTCCACAGCCCGGGGTGGTGCAGRGAYCGGGACAAACTCAGTGGGTTCCAAAGACGGCCATCGCCGCTCCTAAACCTTTTACAGGGGACAAGAGAGGCGAAGACCTCGACACTTGGTTGAGGGCAGTGCCGGTCTACGTCAGGTGTAAACTCACCTTGCCGCACGAAGACGTGCTTGTGGCTGCATCCTACCTAGAGGGTAGTGCAGCAAGATGGTTGAGTGGTTCAGTACACCTCCAGGGGCACGGTCATGACTTCCGCTCTTGGGCAGCCTCTCAGAAACTAGAGGACTTCCTGAAGATGGTGGAAGAGAGATGGCATGATCCTCAGGAGGCCCAAAAGGCCACTAATGCGATCCTGACACTGCACACGCGGCAGTTTAAGTCAGTTAGGGAAGCCACTGACGCTGTTGAGCGTCTAATCTATGTCCCAGGTGTGCACTATGACCCCCAGGTCCTGCTGACTTCGTACTTGAGATGCTTATCCCAGCTTCTCAGGAACCAGTTGGCAGAAGAGGCGAACATCAATATGCACAACAAGGTGGCCCTAGACCTAGAAGCAAAGATAGGGCATGGACAGACACCCACTAGGGACGGGAGGAAGAAGACACTGCCTCCCAACTGGAAGGTGAAGGGTCGCATCATGTTTGTCGACAACGATGGTTCAACCATCGAGCTGGACGACAACTTCCAGGAGGGAGTAGGTGCAAGGGCAGGTGGCGATACTTCAGAGGGTGGAGTAGTCCCCGCCATAACCCAACAAAAAGGTAAGGGGACCGGTAGACGCCGAGGGGGCTCCCGGTCTAAGTATCAAGTTGACACCAATGCTCCTCCATGGGAGAAAGCGGGTCTTTCCGAGGACGTGTGGAGAGATCGGTGGAACCGTCAGGCCTGCATCCGTTGTGGTCAATATGGCCATAACCAGTTCAAATGTAGGAACAAGAAGGTCATCGATAAGATCCCGCCTACTATGGGGCAGGCGGTAGGATCCTCATCTCCCGTAGGTAGCAATGTTGCCAGTTCATCAGGCACTGCTCCAGGAAACACGTCAGGCCAGTAGGAATAGTAGCTGTTCCTACTAGGGACGAGGTGGTGGAGACACCCTCGCCATCTCGCATTATGGCCCAAGCTACTGATTCCCTTGTCGTCCCGCAAACGCATTCAGACCCATCGACCCTTTGCTCGATGAATGTGTTTGAAGCATTGGAGGAGCTAGGGGAGGAGTGGTCTAGATTAGACCCGCTAGCTTCTTGGACGACACTAGCTAAAGCCCCGAAGGGTGAGATGTTCGTCAGCGAGATAGTCGTAGGCGGTCGCAAGGTCGGGGCCTATTATGATACTTGCTCGACACGGAACTTTATTAGTCGCGCGTGCGTTGAGAGGCTGCGTTTGCAGGGGCAAGTGCAGCGCCTGAGTCGACCTGTGCCAACAAGCAGCGCATGGTAGTTAATGACTACCTTCAGGATGTAGAATGCCTGTTCCCGTTCGCGGGAGGGGAGTTGAGGCATCGTGTCTCATTCCTTGTAAGTGACGATCTCCCTATGGATATCTTGTTAGGTATGTACTACCTCTCTGTGGCACAGCCCCAGTTCGACTTGGACCGAAAAATGGTCAAATACACTTTGCCAGGTGGAGGGACCACCAGACTATACAACTTCAAAGCTAGTAGTCTGATCGATTCCCATGGATGCATGTGTGCGGCCGCGTTCTATAACTACTATAAGCAACATCAGGAGGAGGGTATGTACTTAGTTTATGTCTCTGCTGCAGGCGAGCCGGTGAAAATGCCGTCGGAGATAGAGGGAGTAGTTGCCAATCTATTTGAAGAGCCAACAGGGGTTGTTGATAGGGAGGTCGTCCACGCGATAGAGATTATCCCAAGGTCTAGTATTCCGAAGGGTAGGATCTATTGGATGTCTCCAGGCGAGCTTGATGAGATTCCCCGCCAACTCTAGGAAATCGTAGAGAAGGGTTGGATCCGACCGAGTGTCTCTCCTTACGGATCTCCAATACTATTCGTACCTAAGAAGAAGGAGGGCACTCTCAGGATGTGCATTGATTATAGGGGTCTCAATGCCATCACTGTAAAGAACAGAGAACCCCTACCGCGCATCGACGATCTGTTAGATCGAGTGCAAGGGTGTCGGTACTTCAGTAAGATATATCTGAAGTCCGGGTACCATCAGATTGCAATCCGGCCCGAGGATCAACACAAAACCACATTTAAGACCAGGTACGCTTTGTACTAGTTTGTGGTGATGCCTTTTGGCCTGTGCAATGCTCCTGGCACCTTTCAGCACGCTATGAATCGGATATTCCATGACTACTTGGATAAGTTTGTTATCGTGTACCTCGATGACATACTTATTTTTAGTAAGACTGTCGAGGAGCACGTAGCACACTTGGACAAAGTCCTTAGTCTCCTGCGACAGCACAAAGTTCAAGATCAACAGTGAGAAGTGCGAGTTTGGACGCACCCATGTCTTGTACTTGCTTCATGAGATCTCCGCGGAAGGGTTGAAGCCCGATGACGCGAAGGTGGCCAGCATTCGTGATTGGCCACGACCTCATTCTGTGACTGGGATGAGATCTTTCTTGAGAATGACAGGCTACTACCGGACTTTTGTAAAGAACTATAGCGTAGTGGCCGCTCCTTTGACTGATCTGACCCGCCTTGATACCCCGTGGGAGTGGACAGATGAGTGCGAGGCTGCTTTCAGACATCTGAAGCATGCACTAACACATTATGAAGTCTTGAAACTTCCCGATCCTGATAAGCCGTTGATAGTAACCACAGATGCTAGCCAATATGGCATTGGCGCCGTGCTTGCGCATCAGGAGGGGCCAAAGTTGAGGCCTGTTGAGTACATGTCCAAGAAAATGCCGTCTCAGAAGTTGGCTAAGTCCACCTATAAGAAAGAACTCTATGCGGTGTTCAAGGCGCTGACCCATTGGAGACATTATCTCCTTGGGAGGTTCTTCATCCTCAGGACTGATCATCAGACCTTGAGATGGATGAGAACTTAGCCTGTACTCTCTTACGCATTGAAGCGTTGGATAGAAGTCATTGAGCAGTATGACTTTGACCCTCAGTACATTAAGGGTGAGTACAACAAGGTTGCTGATGCCTTGTCGCGTAGACCTGACTTCTCAGRTGCGCTGATTRCTGAGTACGATCTTACGGATGATGTCACKCGATCCTTGGTGGAAGCCTATCGAGAGGACCAGTTTATGTCTGAGATCATATGCAGACTCGAGGCGAAGGATAAACAAACTTCAGTCGAGTTTGAGTTGGTCAATGGCTTGCTGTTTCTCGAGAAGGAAGGGAATAAACGTTTGTGTGTCCCTGATAAAGAGTCTTTGCGTAGTCTGTTTTTAGGCGAGTGTCATGACGCCACCGCTCATTTTGGGTACAAGAAGACCGCAGCCAATCTACTGCAAAGGTTCTGGCCCACGATGTTAAAAAATGCTAAGCTGTACGTGGAAACTTGTCAAGTTTACCAATGAGACAAGCCCCGTACTTAGGCTCGTCTTGGGATGCTCAAGCCCCTTCCGATTCCAGAAAGGTCGGGTGAAAGCTTGTCCATGGACTTCATGGATACGCTGGTCAACAGCAAGAGTGGGATGAGGCAGATCTTCATCATCGTCGATAGGTTTAGTAAGTATGCTAGGTTAATAGCCATGCCGGAAACAGCGAAGACCGAGTATGTAATTAGGTTGTTCAAAGAGAACTGGGTGAGGGATTTTGGATTGCCTAAGTCTATTGTAAGTGACAGGGATGTCAGATTTACAAGTGAGTTATGGAAGGCCGTTGCAGCTGAACAGGGAACTCAATTGCAAATGACTTTTGGAAACCATCCAGAAGCAAATGGCCACGCTGAACAGATGAACCGCGTTGTTCAACACCTATTGAGGCATTACATTAAGCCCAACCAGGTGGACTGGGACGAGAAGCTTGCTCTTGTCGCCAGTCTGTATAATAACGCTGTACACAGCGCTACTGGGGTAAGTCCTAACAGTCTACGGCTTACCTTTAGGCCTAGACTGCCCTTAGACTTCCTATTTCCTGATAACCAGCCAAGTGTTGCACCAGGTACTTTGGAGTTCGCTTATCGTTACAAACAGAAAATACAAGAGGTTGTAGAGCACATGCAGAAGGCGCAGGCAGCAATGATAGAATCTGAGAATAAACACCGCTGCCCTTCTACATTTCAGGTTGGGGACAAAGTCTGGGTCAAGTCTTCAGAATTGGGACAGGAGTTCGGGATATCCCGCAAACTCATGCCTCAGTACTTTGGACCTTGGGAAGTTTTAGACGTAGTAGGGACAGATACTGATGGTCCATCTTATGTCATCCGTATCCCTGGTCACCTCAGAACTTACCCAGTCTTTCACGCCTCTAAGCTCGCTGCGTCCAAGGAAAATGATCAGTTTCCCTCTCGTCGATCAATGCTGCCCCCAACCATGGACGAAAAAGTCGACATCGATGATATCGTCGACCATAGGGAGATGCCTGTTCAGAAGCCTCCGGGAACGGGACGTCCTCCAAAGCGAAAGCTGTTGTTTCATGTCCACTTCAGACATCACACAGATCTGAAGGAGAACCGCTGGTTTACTCGGGAGGAATTGATGCAGACCGCTCCTCAAATTGTTGCCCGTTATGAGAAGGATGTATTGAAAGGAAAGCGCCAGATGGCTCATGATTGATCTTCTTAGAGGACTAACGAAGATATGGAGGAGGGAATGCGAGGCTACGCCCGCTCAGCCCCTTCCGGGGCCCTTTTTGCAGCATGTCGGCCGCCCTAAGTGAAGGCACGCGCAACAGGCCCTCAGGGCCTCGATTTTCAGGGTACCCCGCAACTGGTGAAATTCAGACAGTTGCGCTGCGCCAGTTGGTTGAAGGCGCCCAGGCCCAGGCCATATTTTGCAAATGTATCTGAATGGTGACCTGGGCCAAATCGGGGGAAAGGTCGTGAGCAGGCCAACGGCAGTTGGGCACATGCAACCATCAGGACCTAGGCCTGCGTGTGAGGTCTGGGCCTGTGCCTACCGGGGCCTACTGGACTGGATGCAGGCAGGTCACTTCGATATAGGGAAGGGTCTCCCTCCTCATTCGGCATTCTAGTGTTGGCTGCATGTTGCGCAAGCATTGCTGCGCTATTCGCTGGTTGGCTGGCACTCACGCTTTCACGGGCGAGCAGGACGGAGCGGGCAGCCATAGCCGAGCTGCTCCGCTGTGAGCTGGGTGTGGCGCAGGGTGGTCCTTGGGTGCTAGCGGCATCTGTGTGGTGTGGATCGGGGTTGTGAGTGTTGCGAGAGACATACTTGGTGCTGGAAGCGTGCGGCATTGTCCGCTGTATGCTCGTACTTCAGGAAGCTGTTGTTGTCAACATCGGCATTGTAGTATTAGGCTAGATAGGATTTGCCACATGTAGTCTGGGCGCCGAGCGCCAATAGGATATCAACTCTTGTTCTTCGTTGATGATGATGAGAGACGATTTCAGCATTATCAATTACGAACTATTGGGGTGTTCTTATTTGGTGAATCTCGTGATGCATTTGTGTTGTTGGTTCGAGATCAAGACTATGAGGACTCATATGCATGATGTTGTTGGATTGCTGGAGTTCGCTAATGCTCATCTTCCTTGCAAAATAATAAAATAATAAAATAATAAAAGCTTATTAACAAATTATAAATTAAAAATAAAAAACTTGAAAAATAATATTTTTTTAATAATAAAATAATATTAAAATATTAAAATAAATAAAATAAAATAATAAATAAAAATTAAACAAATAAATTATAAATATGTATATATATATAAGAAAATCAAAAAAAAAATAATAATAATAATAATAATAAAATTTTAAAAATAAATAAAAAAATATAAGAAAATAAGATAAATAAATAAAAACAATAAACTAAAGCTAAGAAAATAAATATTGGATTTAAATACATATTCTTTCGCAAAACCGCCTACTACGCAACAACGTATCAAAAATATGAATATTCAACTCTCGCAAAGAAAAAAGGTTATGGGAACTATATACTTATAAACTAGGCTACCAGTCGGGCCGCCCGGGGCCCAGGTGGCCAGCCCGTGCAAGGATCAGGTAAGGTCCCCCAAAAAAAAAAAAAAAAAAAAAATTCCAAAACTTCTGAAACAAAACAATGTTATGCAAAAACATAAACTGAACAACTTTTGCCTTAGGGTTTCATCGAAATTCTTCACCTATTTTAAAATAAAAATTTAAATTCAAAAATAATTTATTTATATATATATTTTAATTATTTTGGCCTGGCCGGGCAAGTGACCCCGGGCCACTCTTGTAGCCTAGCTTATAAACCAATTACGTATATATCCTGCACAAAAACAAATTAATTATAGATGTCGACTGACTAGTAACTAAGCAACTGTGCTACAAGTTGTACCTCACGAAAAACATCTCACCCCCCCCCCAAAGAATAACGCATAACACACCACTAAGTGCACTTACATATAAAACAACATACTAAACGAAAAATTCGGTGCGGTTTACACTGAGAAAAACCAATTAGAACTGAACAATAATACAACACTCCAGAACCGCCCATCGTTAAATTTATTACTCCCCCTAAAAAAACTTACATAGCAAACCACTGAACACTGACCTACACATAAGAACCTAATACAAATACACCCCCACTCGTACATCGATACGTCCACCCACAAGTACAAACCCCTGATGAAGATAATACCACCCAGCCGATGGCGCTACATAAGGCAAACATTTCCTTCAAGAAAAACTAAGGGACATGAATAATAATACAAACCCGAACACATGCATAGACACGAAAACGAAGAAAAGGAAACAGATACGACAAAAAAAAATGAAACAGCAAAGCAACACCCCGCAAAGAAAGACACACAAAAATACAAAAACTCGTGAAGCATCCCCATGAAGATCGGCATCTGAGAACCACGACAAAAAGACTCGACAAAATAAATATGCCACGTTCTTTAACCAGGTAGTTAGACTGCAACCCATCCAAAATACTGACCATCCCGAAGCTCTGAAGTTGATCGGCACGAAAAAAGAAGACAATAACATTACGCGGGAACTACAAAGCAAAGCAAATATGCCACTAAAATTCAAAACTATAATCACCCCACCTACTGCCAGACCCCGTAAACTGTACTACAACCGATCACACACAAGCATAACCCGTATACCTACACAGACCCCTAAACCTACCAAATACACCCTGTTTTACCAAACTAGAGCGAATATCACCTTTCGGCGACCTAATTAATTTAATCAAAATAATTAGAAAAAAAAAGCAATAACGTTTAAGTTATCTTATACACACAAACGCGACCATACCCATTACAAACCTCACATTACAAGATATAATGGAGTCTGCCTGCATTACCATCTACAACAACTTGCCTATGACTACAGCGGCGCTACGGAGCATTCTGACTCATATTTGCTACGCATGCGAAGAACCTCCTCATCCCACCATTTTCTCCCACCTGCCTCCCCTCATCCCCCTCATACTACGCAACCAGGCGAGCTAACTATCTGTCTGCGGTTGGCAAGACACCTTCTTGGGCCGACCAATTTGTGCTTCGACCAGCGGAGCTCTTGATCCATCTCTGCGCCGAAGCTCGACAGCTATGGTAGCTACGACAGGGACTGACTATGCCGCTTCTCCAGACATGACTCCTCAGGTACGGATCCTCTGTACCCTTACCCCTAATCGCCCATGTAGTGTATTCCAACGACCCCCTTGACTACAACTCCCCACCACCCGTTGTGCTAATTGGAGCCTTACTAACGACTAATCCCTCTGATGAGCTGCTATGGGTGCTAAGCGGCGAAAAGCGCGCTTCAGGGCGTGCACCCCCCCTACGACTGGACTTTGCCCTTTCCTAATTTCTAACACTCGAACATTAACAACCTAATCATAGCTCCTGCAATAACCTAGACCCCCACCTTCACACTTTGTCCACCTTTGCAACATACATCCTCCATAGCTGAATTGCTATCTAACACCGTACTAATGGACGATCTTGAGTTGAGTCATGTTTCCCACATTCTGTGGGATAGCTGTGTTACGTACACAAACCCCCCCGCACACACACCCGGATCACTGATCTTGTTGCTATGTAGGGTCCGACTCCCTTACTGGCAGGACTGCGCAAACTCAACTAACGGTCCTTCTCCTGACTCTAATCAAGGATGCGTTGCACTAAAGCTAATGCTAACTTACTCCCCCAACCCCCACCCTGCACCCCCAACCTGACTGCTATCTCCGCAGACAAATTACAGTCTTCTGCACTGCTTATCGAACGTGTATACCTCTAGTTTACGACACAGCTAT